GGCAGCACCACTAGTTCCCAAGTCCCATTCTCCACCAGGCTCTGGTACTCAGCATCCCTAGAAGCTAGCCATTTGTCCCTATCTGGTCCAGCTAATGCCTCCTCCATGCTAGCTGGTTCCTCTGGTGCAGGGGCAAGAAAACAGTACGCAGGCTCATCCTCCTCATCCGGGTCATAGCCATGCGGTAGAATCAGCAATGCCTCCTCAGTCCCAAGCTGCTGCTCCGCTACATCAGCTCCTGCAGTCAGCTTCTTAGTAGCCATACGGGTACGTCCTGGCCTGGAGACGGGTGTCTCCCATCCCTTCATAACGACACCCTTCGGCTTCTTAGTTTTCCCCTGCTGCTGCTCTCTCCCCTCAGATCCAGCAGCTCCACTAGTGCCAGTCTCCACATCATTTTCTCCACCAGCAGGTGCCTCCTGTACCTTCTTTCCATCACCACCCTCTGCAGCTGCCTACTCTCCCTCCTCCCACACACTAGGAGTCAGGTCCAGCTGCATGGTGATCTGCTCCATTTGCTGGGACACCCTGGCCTCCGGCTGTTTCTCCCAGCTCCCATACATCATGCCCTCAACAAACTTCACATCCCTGCTGTCAAACAACACCCCCTTGGAAGGCTCCCACAGCAGCCATCCCTTGCTCTCAGCAGCCAGCCCCAAATGCACACACCAGTTTGCACTCGCCCCCAACTTACTGCGGTAGGTCTTGGGGACGTGGGCGACTGCCATGCAACCGAACACCCTCAGCATGTCCACCGGCGGCTTCCTCCCAAGCCACCTCTCCAACGGCACCCACGAGTCATCCCCAACCTTTGTGAGTACCCTGTTCCTAGCGACGGTAGCGTGCCGAACAGCATGGGGCCACATCAAGTTGCCCAGCCCAGATTCTATGAGCAGCGCCCTAGCTGTCTCCAGAATTGTCCTGTTCGCCCGTTCTGCTACACCATTGGACTGTGGGGTGTAAGCCGTGGTCAGCTCCCTCTGGATGCCCTGCTTCTTGAGCCAGGCCGTCATCTCAGCTCCAAGGAACTCACCACCCCGATCTGTCCTAATCCGCTTCACCACACACTCCGCTTGCTTCTCCACGAACGGCAGCCAATCGTCCCGAATCGTGGAGGCGGCGTAATCTTTCTGCTTCAGCGGATACGCCCACATTAGCCTGCTCCAGTCATCCACTATGGTTAGGAAATACCGCTCCCCCTTGTGCCCTTGCACCGGCAGCGGCCCCACCAAGTCCATGTGGACCAGCTCCAACGGCTTTTTGCTCCTGCCAGCCACACTATGGAAGGGGAAACGGGTGAACTTTGAAAGGAGGCAAATTTCACAGTTATCATCGGGTGGTTGTCCGTTCAGCTTCAAGCCCTTAACGGCTCCATCCTTCTCCAGCAGCTTCAGCAAAGGCATTGCCACATGCCCCAAACGTCGGTGTGCAGTTGCCCAATCCGTCTCACCAGATCTGGCCGACACTTTCACACCAACCCCTCCAACGGCATTGCACCCCTCCAGCCTGCCCCCCACCGTGCCACGCCAGCGCCCGCAGCTGCCACATAGATCTGTACACGTCCTTGCTCTCGTGCAGATCCCAAAGCACCCGATTGCCCAGCTTCCCCTTATAAGTGCGAGCCCCATCTGTGTTGGTGTTCACCCCAGCCTTGCCAAGCTTACGGAGGGAGATAAGGTTGGCCTTCAGGTCGGGGACGAGGAGAACGTTGTGCAGCACCACCGGCTTGCCATCCGCTCCCTTAAACGCAGCTCGTCCCGCACCAGCCACCTTCAACATGTGTCCAGAGGCAGAGCACACCTCATTAATCGGTGCAGCGCATACGTCGTCCAGCAGGTCCTTGCACGGCGTCATTGTCCAAGCAGCGCCTGTGTCTAACACCCAATAGTCCAGGGGGTGCAGCTCTGCTCCTGCCTTAGCAGATGCGTCTCCTTGCTCCCCCTTGTCTCCCACATGGAAGAATTGGCCCGCGGTGCGCTCCTTCTTCTTCTCTGCACCGCCGTTGCCCTTCGAGTTGTTGTCGGACGAATCAGCGACCATGTTAGCGCCGTTTTTCTGGTTCCTCCGCGCGCCGCCATCCTCGTGACGATTCTGGGGGGTCCATCCATCGGGTTTCTTATAGCACAAAAACCAGGGGTGCCCTTCCTTCTCACAATACCAGCAACTCCCTTTCATTTTGCCACCAGCACCCGACTTGCCCCCACGTCCAGATTTTGCACCGCGACCCCAACCGGTACCTCCTTGTTGGTCGTTGGAGTCGTCGTCTTTCTTTGCACCGCGTCCAGCACCACCGAAGCCACGTCCTTTGCCACGTCGGCTCCCTTGCATCCTGTAGCCGCTGCTGCCATCGTCTCCACCCCTCAGTTGGCGGCGACGGAAGTCCTCCTCCAGAATCTTCGTCCGCACCCACTCGAGCGTCCACAAGCTCTGGTTCTGCGGCAGGCTCAATCCGCTCGTGAATTGAAGACACGATTCCGGCAGCAGCGAGAGCATCTTCAGGCACTTGGTCTGCTCCGGATAGGTGATTCCCGCGATCGCCAGCTTCGCGTAGAGATCACGCATCTTGTCCAGGATGGGCTGTACCGGCTCTCCCTCGCTCAGGCGCAACGCGGACAGCTCCCTCTCCATCATGAGCGTCGCAGCGACGGTGGTAGGGGCGTGCAGCTCCTTCAACACGGTACTAGCGTTGGAGTGCTAGCGTACTAGCGTTGACTCGGGTAGCATTCCGCCGTCGTACCGCGTAGAAACGAAATTCCAGGAAGGGAGGAATTCGCTTGAATCAATTTCACTAGATTCAGGTACAAACAGAGAAGGAATAAATAGCTCTAGCTAGCAAGGACCTTGGGAATCAACCTGGGAACAACCAGGGATGATCCCAAATAATTCCAAGCAACAGAACCAACCTGGCTGGACAAAATAGCAGGTGGTAGGTTGGTGAACAACCTCTGGTTCTGTTTTTCCAACCTGGGAAAACAACAACCAGGTTCAGGTCCTAAAAACAGAACCTGTTTTGTCTTTGCCCAACCAGCCAAATGCTGGTTCCGCTGGTTTCCCCTGGCCCTGTAGCATGCAGATACAGACAAACAACATCCAACCTTCACCTAAATTGTACCCCTATAGTGCCTGCCCTGCTACATTATAGTCAACCAAACAAAACAGTACAATTTCGAGTTGGATAGAACTGAATCTGCGCAATCAAGTAAGCCGAACCACAAAGCTTCCATCTTGGGTTCCTTTGCGAGCTCGTCCTTTCTGCTTGTACTTTTCATAGCGCGTACAATGTTATGCCGAAGCGCACATTGTGTGAGTACCTGCAAATGCTTCAAGCGAAAAATGCGAAAGCAAACAAACACACGAACATACCATTCACACGCAAATGCATTCGCACACGCATACTCGTACAAACAGACGGCAGGATGTCGTGCAATGTGAATTTGCACCCAACAAATTCACGAGCGGATTGGGCCTACCGCAGAACCAGAGCTCGTGGACACTCGAGTGGGTGCGGACAAGCATTCTGGAGGAGGACTTCCGTCGTTGCCAACTGAGGGGTGGAGACGACGGCAGCAGCGGCTATGGGATGCAAGGGTGGCGACGTGGCAGAGGAGGAGGCTTTGGTGGTGCTGGACGTGGTGCAAAGAAGGACGACAACTCCAACGACCAACAAGGAGGTACCAGTTGGGTTCGCAGTGCGAAATCTGGACGTGGGGGCAAGTCGGGTGCTGGTGGCAAAATGAAAGGGAGTTGCTGGTATTGTGAGAAGGAAGGGCACCCCTGGTTCTTGTGTTATAAGAAACCTGAAGGTTGGACCGCCCAGAATCGTCACCAGGATTGCGGCTCGCGGAGGAACCAGAAAAACGGCGCGAACATGGTTGCCGATTCGTCCGCTATTAACCCAAAGAGCAACGGTGGTGTGGAGAAGAAGGAGCGCACCGCGGGCCAGTTCTTCCATATTGGAGAGCAGGGGGGGCAAGAAGACGCCTCTGCCAAGGTTGGAGCTTTGCTGCACCCCCTGGACTATTGGGTGTTGGACACGGGCGCTGCTTGTACAATGACGCCTTGCAAGGACCTGCTGGTTGACGTACGCGCTGCACCGATAAATGAGGTGTGCTCCGCCTCTGGACACGCGCTGAAGATGGCTGGTGCAGGAGGAGCTGCGTTTAAGGGAGCGGACGGCAAGCAGGTGGTGCTGCACGACGTTCTCCTCGTTCCTGAACTCAAGGCCAACCTCATCTCCCTCCGTAAGCATGCCAAGGTTGGGGTGAGCACTAGCACGGATGGCGCACGCGTTTACAAGGGGCAGCTGGGCAATCGGGTGCTTTGGGATCTTCACGAGAGCAAGGATGTGGCAGCTGCATGCATTGACGTGGCACGGTGGGGGGCAGGCTGGAGAGGGGTTTGCATCCCAGGGGGAGTGCAACGCCGTTGGAGGGTTGGTGTGAAAGTGCCGGCCAGATCTGGGGAGACGGACTGGGCAACGGCACACCGACGCTTGGGGCATGTGGCTATGCTCTTGTTGAAGCAATTGGAGAAAGATGTAGTCGTTAAGGGGCTGAAGCTGAACGGACAGACACCTGATGAGAATTGTGAAATCTGTTTGCTCTCAAAGTTTACCCGTTTCCCCTTCCATAGTGTGGCTGGCAGGAGCAAGAAGCCGTAGGAGCTGGTCCACATGGACTTGGTAGGGCCGCTGCCGGTTCAGGGGCACAAGGGGGAGCGGTACTTTCTGACCATAGTGGATGATTGGAGCAGGCTTATGTGGGCATACCCGCTGAAGCAGAAGGACCATGCCGCCTCTACGATACGGGAAGATTGGCTGCCGTTCGTGGAGAAGCAAGCGGATTGTGTGGTGAAGCGGATTAGGACCGATCGGGTGAGACGGAAGCGCTGTGAAAGAGCTCAAGTATGGATAGGAATGAGGGTGGAAGTGAGTGAGTTTAGTTGCGAGGTTTGGTGATTGCGCGTGGGTCCAGTGGCACGCATGTCGCATGCTCACCGCGATGCTGCTCGCCTCGCCACCTGCGCCCTCCGCCCTTCTAGCAGGCGCGCGTGCGGGCGCGGGTGCAGCGGTGAAGCGGCAGGTGCACGTGGGACGAGGTGGGCGACGAGCCCATTGCGAGCACGAGCGGCGGATCCACGCGGTAGCGCCATTCGCGCGCCAGCTGACCGTGCCCACCACTCACTGCACGGTGCTCGCCCACCCCCGCCCCCGCGTGCCACTCACCCACACCCACCCACGCGCGGCAGTGACCCTTAACCCCCCGCGTGGCAGTGAAGCTTACCCAGAGGCGCGCGGCATCGGCGTGGTGGTAGGTCGCAGGCGTGTGTTTGCGGTTGGGTTTAGGGCTGGTGGGCGTGTGGGCAACGCGCTTCACTCGCCATCCACGCCACCACCGCACCACTCATCACCGCCCCACTCCGCTTTCCCGTAAGCCTCTCCCACACACACCCCACCACCTTGCCGCTTGACTCAGTATCGTGCTCACCCGTGAGTGGGGAGAGTGAGTGGGGAGAGTGGTGCGAGAGTGGTGCGTGCGGTGAGGGCATGAGAGGGCGCAAGGCATGAGGCAAGTGCAACATGAATGCGGTGGTAGTGCTGTGGAGGTGAGAGTGGCTTTGGGGCGCACTGTGCGACATGCGGTGGGCGTGGGCCGGGAGCACTGGGTGTGGCCCATGGGCATGACAGTGTGGCATGGCATGCGCGTGTGCTGTGTGGCACTGGCGCGCATCACAGCTGGGGCGAGTGCCCGTGGGCACTCGTGGACGACGGCTTGCCCAACCACGTGCTGTTGTGCTGCGTTCTCCTTGCTGCCCACCCACCGCCGCCACCTCCCTCACCCACTCCAACGCCCGCCACTCCCTCAACTCCACCCGCCACACGCGCTCTCACCTCCGCCTCTCCCTCGCCACACACCCGCCGCCCTTGCATGCATGCATGCCTTTGCTTCTCTCGCCCACTCTGCGCTTTCGCCTGCACGCGCATGCTCCTGCTGCTGCCCACGTGGGAGCGGGCGAGGGAGTGCAAGCAGGGGTGCAGGGGGTGGCAGCAAGGGCGCGCAGGGAGAGCGAGTTGAGGCAGCTACTGCGTGGCGGCGGGGGAGTATTCAGCTTCTACTCTCTGCGCTGCAACTGGCGTTGGCTCTTGAGGTGGGTGGATTGGGGGGAGTGCGCATGGGGTAGTGAACGTGGAGTGTGGGGGCGTGGGGGCGTGCCGTATGGGCGTTTGGTGGAGTGAGAGGGGCCATGGTTGATGTGGCATGGTGCATGCAGGATGCGGGGCACATGCCATTGGGGGAGGAACCACCTGCATGCACATCCCACCCGCATGCTCTCCACATGCGCGGCCCCCTTGCCGCCCCCTTGCTCCTCTCCCACCACCATTCCTTGCTTCGCCCTGCTTACCACCCGCCAGCCAATGCGTGCCCTTGTTGCTGCGTGCTGTGGATGTGCGTGGGTGGTAGTGGGTGGGGCTGTGCATGGGGGTGGGTGGGGATGAGGGCAAGTGAGTGCTTGGATGAGGCATGATGGGGGGTTCAAGGAGCTGCACTGCCCTTCACTCTCACGCATTGCCCATCACGCCCATTCACACGCCTTGTATGCCTCGATGCACCGCATTGCCAATCACTGCACCACAATCACCACCACCTGCCACCCCACCCTTGCTGTCCGCTACACCTCGCTGCTCTCCCCCACAATGCCACCACTCGCTGCACTAACCTTGCTTCGCAACCTAACTCTGCGTACCTCTCATTCCTCTCCCCCCATTCCCCTCCCTCCCTCCCTCCCTCTCTCACTCTCTCCCTCCATCCCCCCCGTCCTCCTTGCCTCCCTGCCGTGCACCCTCCCACTCTCTCTTGACGCACCTGCAGCAGCAGGGAACGACAGCCTGGCGTGAGTCACTCCCCCACGCCCACGCCCACGCCCGCGCCCACACCCTGATCTTGCTGCCACACCTTCATGCTTGTGCTGCAAGCCAGGGACGTTGCTTCTGACCGCTCTGTGCTGTGAAACCACTGCCTTGCTCCGTCTCAACTCATCATGCTCTGCTGTGCGTCACGGGGGCTGTCAACTCAATTCACAAGCACTGCCGCTGCAGCAGAAATTCAGGTGTATGGTACATGCTTGAGCAGGCATTGTGTGTCGACTAAGAATGGACACTCACACCTTTCACTGACCCCAGCAGTATCTGTAGTAGGCCGTGCAAGGTTACTGCATCCATGCATACTCCAATGCCACTTCAAACACTATAATCATTGCCAATGCTACCATTACAGATCGGCACTACTAGCCACAATCTTATAGGAACTAATAACTATTTGCTACCCCAGTCCTGAGCCATCCCTTCAGGAGCACATCAGTCCTGAGCCATCCCTTCAGGAGCACATCAGTCCTGAGCCATCCCTTCAGGAGCACATCAGTCCTGAGCCATCCCTTCGAGACCACATCAGCAGAGCGGCAGTTGTTTTGGCCTTCCGCCCTCCATCCACCAAGGTCAACAAACCCACACTCCCACAAACACCCTGCTGTGAAGCAGGCTGCAAAAAAGGGTCGTGTCCCACCATGGTTCCCCTCCCGCATCCTTAAACCGCCCCACAACCCCCCACTCGCTCTTCACTGCTGTGCTTCTGTGTCATCCGCCGCCTTCACCCATCCCACCATTTCCCTTCATTCTCCCTCTGTGAAACGTTGCTGGCAGGGAAGTAGCAGCCTTAGTAGGCTATGAAAATGGGTATTAAGTGCTCTCTGGAGTTCTCTGGAATTTGCAATATGCCTTTACAAATTTGACAGTACAATTTTTTAGAGCACATTCAGAAATCGAGTCGCACTACCAAGTCGCGACACCCTGAATTCCCTATTGGTAACCCTTCCCTTGTAAATGAACCTTGCCGTGAAATTCAGGGGATTATTGCGGTACGGGACTGGTCAGCGAGTTTGTTTACGGGGCTGTAACTTCGTCGGCGTGGTTGGCGAAGTCGGCGAGGCGTCGGAACTTGGGTGTTCTGCGTTTCGTAATTTTCGCGCGAGGGTTTGACTTGGGCTGCGTGTCAGGACCTGGTCGCCCAGCTGCAGGTTGAGGCGCTTGACTAATCGGAGGTTTGGGTGAGGTGGCGCTTGACTTCCGCCCACCTGCACTGTACTTGGCAGCATTCAGCTGCCACACTGTTACATTACTTCCCCCTCCAAGTGGCGCCGTCCACGGCGCCAAACCGTGGCTGGTCAAGTACCGATTCACAGCAGTTGCGGCACGGTCAAGGTGGCTCTCTGGTTCCCATGAGTTGTCACTAGTGGGCTGGTCCTTCCAATGAACAAGAAACTCGCGACCATGAGGTGTGTCGCGATGTGCAGCGATAGATGCAACCTCAAACAGGCCGGGGCTGCCTTCGAACATCGGTGGCAGTTGGCGTGTGGCTGGACGGTCGTGTGAAGGTGCACGGAAAGGGCGGAGGCGCTGGACATGGAAGACGGGGTGAATCTTCATATAGCTGGGCACTTGGAGACGGTAGGTGACTGGTGAGAGGACTCGGGTGATGGTGAACGGGCCAATGAAGCGAGGGGCGAGTTTTCTGGTTGTGCCTTTGTGTAGGAGAGGTAGGTGGTCAGTGGAGAGAAGCACCTGATCGTCAACCTTGAAGCGGATATCTTTGCGGTGGGAGTTGGCATAGTGGGTCTGTTTGGCTTGTGCTTTAAGGATGGAGGTGCGAGCAGCGTCGATGGATGATTCGAGTGAAGTGAGGAACTCAAAGGCTGCTGGTGTGTGTGAGAGGTGGGAGGGTGGGGTTGTGGGGAGGCGTGGGTGCTGTCCGGTTGCGAGGTAGAAGGGTGGCTGACCGGTGGAAAGGTGGGGTGTGCTGTTGTATGCGAGTTCAATGGCGGTGAGGTGGAGATCCCAATCAGTTTGGCGAGCAGTAACTTGTGCACGGAGGGCGTCTTCTAGCGTGCGGTTCATCCGTTCAGTTTGTCCATCCGTTTCAGGGTGATACGCGGTAGAAAAATTCAGCCGGGTTCCGTGAAGCTTAAAGAGGCTCTGCCAAAAGTTACTCAAGAAGCGGGGGTCACGGTCTGATATGATGGCGGATGGGAGACCATGTAGGCGAACTATGTGATCGAAGAAAAGCCGGGCTGTTTCGGGTGCGGTGACGGTTGTGTGCGTGGGGATGAAATGGCTCATTTTGGAGAGTCGGTCAACGACAACTAGGATGGCGTTGTAGCTGCGGGGTGTTCGGGGCAGGTCCATGATGAAGTCCATGGTGATTTCATCCCACACTTTGGTAGGTGGAGGGATATGTTGAAGGAGTCCGTAGCGGTTGGTGGTGCGTGCTTTGAGTTGTTGGCAGGTTCGGCATGTGCGTATGAAGTCATGCACATCAGCATGCATGCGTGGCCAATGGTAGTCGTTGGAGAGGCGTGCGTAGGTCTTCTCAACACCAAAGTGGCTGCCGATAACAGTGTCATAGTATTCGGAGAGTAGCAGCTGCCGTAAGGAGCGATCCGCAGGGACACAAATGGACTTAGTGACGGTGTTGTACCAAAATGGGTCTTCAAATGAGTAGGCCGGATCCTCGGGTGCTTGCTTGACAAAAAACAGGTCACGTTTGTAGGTGCGCTGAAATTTCGTGATGAAGGTATCATCCCAGGTGATGCTGCTGATTCCATGGAGTTGCAAGGTTGGGTTCGGAGTGTGAGGTGGAGGTGATGAGGTGGGGCTGGTGTGGGAGTGGTGGGGCTGGTTGGTGGTTGGTTGGGGCTGGTCGGTGGGTGGTGGGGCTGGTGGTGGTGGTCGGGACAAGATGTCAGCTGGGTTGAGTTTTCCGGGGCGGTAGATGATCTGAAGTGAGGGGACGAACTGCTCCAGAAACTCAACCCATCGGGCTTGGCGGCGGCTGAGCACGGGCTGTCTTTTCAGGTGTTGAAGAGGGCGATGGTCGGTGTAGACGGTGACGAGCTGCAGCTCCACGTAACAGCGCCATGTCTTGATTGCGTGGACAATAGCAAGGAGCTCCTAATCGTGTGTGGCGCAGTTGCGCTCTGCCGGTTGAAGTTTGTGTGACTCGAATGCAAGTGGCTGCATCCCATGGCCGTGGTCTTGGCAAAGAATGGCACCAACGGCGACATCGGAGGAATCAGTCCATATGAAGTACGGGCGTGAAGGGTCGGCGACGGTGAGGACTGGTGCAGAGGTGAGCGCTGCCTTGATCGAGCTGAAAGCGGTCTGCTGCGGTAGTCCCCATTGAAAGGCAGCTCCTTGACGAAAGAGGTCAGTCAACGGAGCACATATGTGGGAGAAGTTGAAGATGAAATTCCTGTAATATTTTGCAAGGCCGATGAAACTTTGCAGCTCCACTACCGTGCGTGGTGCCGGCCAATCAGCAAGGCACTGGACCTTTACGAGGTCCATAGCAATGCCCTTGGAGCTGATGACATGACCGAGAAAGCCGATGCTTGAACGAGCGAAGGTGCACTTGGAGAGCTTGGCGTAGAGGCGGTGTTGGCAGAGAGTGTCGAGGACGATGCGTAGGTGCTGAGTGTGTTCTTCAAGTGACTTGCTGAAGATGAGGATGTCATCGAGGAACACGATGTCAAAGCGGTCGAGGAAGGGCCGAAAAATGTCGTTCATAAGTCCCATGAACGTGGCTGGTGCGTTGGTGAGGCCGAAGGGAAGAACTCGAAATTCGAAGTGGCCGTAGCAGGTTCAAAACGCCGTCTTGCTGATGTCGTCTTCGATGAAGCGGATCTGGTGGTAACCGGATCGTAGGTCGAGCTTGCTGAAAACCGTTGCTTCCCCAAGCATGTCAAACAACTCCTCGACACGGGGCAGCGGGTACTTGGACTTGATCGTGATGGCGTTGAGGGCGCGGTAGTCGATGCAAAGACGCAGGTCACCTTCCTTCTTGCGAGTGAAAAGCACGGGGGCAGCGTATGGTGAGGTGCTAGGGCGGATGAAACCCTTCTCAAGAAGGTCGTCGAGTTGTCGTCGTAGCTCCAAAAGTTCAGCAGTGCTCATGCGATAGGTTGGGCGCACGGGCGGTGTAGAACCTGGAATGAGGCGGATGCTATGGTCAATAGCACGCTCGGGTGGAAGTTCGGCGGGTAGATCATCGGGAAATACGTCCGTATAGCCGTTGAGCAGATTCTGTATGGGTGGTGGCAGTGAAGTAGCTGATGCTTCAGATTCAAGAGCCGTGAAGATGACTAGGAGATGATGAGGAGGAGGTGGTGAAGGAGGGGTGGGGGTCG